ACACCCAGGCACTAAGGAAAGAGACTTGCCCCAAAAAAACCTCCAACTGACTCCAGTGTTAGCAGCTTGTCCAAGTGGCTCGTCGTCCGTGCCTGCTAGAAACCACAGCAGCAGCCACCTCCAGGAAAGGCAGCACACTAGCAGGAAGCCAGGGTCGCCCCTGCACAGCACCGACTCACCGCTCGAAAATAGTTTATTTTTTTATATAAAAAGTAAATAAAAATCAACTTCTCCCTCCTCCTAGCAGGGGCAGGGGAAAGAGCCAACACCCAGTTGTCAGTTTAGGCCTTTCCTGCCTATTGCATTTGCAGAGCACAGAGCAGCCTGGCCCCTCCCTCGGAGGGTCACACGCAGCTGGAGCCAGCCATGCCTCCAGGGTCACGCTGCTGCTAGCTCCAGCCCTGGGGAAGGAAGCTGAGGCAGTGGTGGAAAGGGGGTTGGTTAAACAGCAAGTGGAGCCTTGGGCCCAGACTAAAACAAAATGGGAGAACCCTCATGCTCAAATGCTGAGTCTACCCCGCGAATGGAAACCAGAACCGGGAACACCTGCCCGCTGGGGGAGAGGCCAGGCCCTGGCCAGCCCGGTCTCAAGCCAAGAACAACAACTTTAAAAGAGCTAAGGGCTTGTTCAGACCCCACAGGCCACACCAAGAGGGCAAGTGGCCCAGGCCACTTCCTTGAGCTGCAAGAACACTGTGACTGTCAGAGTAAGGCTCCTGGACCCTTGGCCAGGGAAAGGCTGGCTGATGTAGCTGGACTCAGTGGGGGCTAGGAGGGCCTATGTTAGCAGAAGCTTCTGGTTCCGAGAACCTTTTCTATGCCCTGAGGCACCCAGCTTAGCAGCGCAGTCAGGGGTCATGTGCACTCTCCTTCCAGCGACCCTTAAAACAGGGTGAGGAGGGGCCCAGGTGAGCTGGCTGAGCCACACAGACAAGCTTCCCTTGGCAGCAGCAGGCCCGAGGCCTCGCCCGCCCCCTGCACTGGCTGCATGCCTGCACTGGGGGGGATAGCTGCAGTCTCCTGTTATGGCCGCTCCGGCTTCCGTCTGGCTGGAGGGATCAGCTGGTTACTCGGAGCTCTCCTCAGCTTCCTTCTGTTTCTTCTTTTTCTTCTTCTTCTTGGTGTCACTGGCCTGCAGGGAAGATGTTGCTCAGGAAGAGGGGTCGGGATGGTGTCACTGCTCAGTGTGACACCTCTCGCCAGGACTAATGAAGTCTTAGCTACCTCCAGGGGCTCACTCCACCATGCTGCCCCTTCCCCAGCTGAGGTGCCCCAAGCCAAGCTGGGTAGGTACCAACAGGCCCCCGGTCCAAGGCAGGCGTGTCACTCCCTGCCAGGCAGCTGAGATCATTCCTAGCCAATTAAACCAGGGGAGTCTGACAACACCCCCTCCCACACCCTGCCCGGGAGTCCCAGGCCAGACAATGGTGCCAGCTGAGGCTGCCGGGAGAGCAACAAGCTACATGGACAAACTGAGAAGGACTTGGGATATGTAAGTATCACCAGGAGGGGTGTGAAGGGATGCAGTGCAGCTGCACTTCCAGGACCTACCACTTCCATTAGCTCCTCTCCACTCCCAGCGGCAGCTTCTTTGGCCTTCTTCTCTTTCTTCTTCTTCTTCTTCTCCTTCCTGCTCTGCTCCTCTGATTGCGTGGGGGACGGAGCCACTGCTGCCTCTTCGCTCTCACTCTCCATCTCTCGCTTCCTCTGGGAAGAGCAAAGCTGGCGTCAGACCAGCTCCCTGAGCCCAAGAGCAGCCTGTCATGAGTGCAGATGACAGACCCACACAACTTGGAGACCCCATTCTAGCGAGCCCTATTCCTGGTAGTGCTCTCCAGCTCCTCACCACTCATGTGAAGAGAGACCCGAGCCTCTGGAACCTGGCTATGCTCTTTGGATAGCTTTGCCAGGCCTCCAGAAGTTCCTTCCTTTGGCATCATTTCATGTAGGGCTCCAGCCTCTGCTGTGTCATCTGGCCAGAGTCAGGTCCAAGGTTGGCCCCAGGCAAAGCCGTCCCTGGTAAGAGGCCCATGCTGCCTGGGCTTCTTCAGCTGGGCTGAAATGCTTACATCAGGATGGGGCTGGGGTCCATGGCCTCTGGAATTCCAGCAGCGCAGCCCTGGGCTCTTGTCCCTCAACGGCTCCAAGCCCAGCAGTGTAACTAGCCCCATGGGCGACTATGGATTTCAGGAGAGTCACTCTGCTGGACAAATCTAAGGAGACTCCACGCTGACTCTGCCTCCCCCCAAAGCAACACGAAGCATAGTTCACAGGCTGCCTGCCAAGCAGCAATAGGCAGGTGAGCAATGGATCTCACATGAAGGAGCCAACAGTACTTACTTTTGGTGCCCTCTCGGCCACTGCTGCTGGGGCTTCGGTCTCTTTCTTTACAGCAGCGCTGAAAGGAGGAACACTCCTGAGTCAAGCGTGCGCTGCCAACCAACCCTGCACACTCAGACTGGTTATCTTCCCTCCCAGGTGCTTGCCGCAAACCAACCTACATTCCTCAGCCTCTTGCTGCGACCCACATGACACTCCACAGGACAGCTCCCCCTGCGCTGCCCAGCACCGGGTGCTGTATGGAAAGCCTGCAGCCAGCATCAGCAGCTAACTGTGCTGGACAAAGGCAGAGCCTTCCGCTTAATTTGGCAGACTGACTCCCTCTAGAGCCACAGGTATCAAGCTAGAAAGGGATAACTGTCTGCTCCCTGGGATGGCTCTTCCTCCAGGGCAGTGCTCCTAGGGAAGGTGAATAAGGTGCAGTATTGCCCAACTGTCACACTCGTAACACGCGATACGCAACCCCCAGGACACATCTTCCGTTCGAAGTCAGCAAGAGACCTCAAGGAAGTGGCCTCCTAAGACAGCAGAGCAGACTGGATGCATGCAGTTCATCCCTCCGCCCTGCCACTCAAGCACATCTCTAGAGCACTGGGCATTACCTGTAGTCCACAACAGAGGAGAGCAGAGAGAGAGAGAGCGGCAGGAGGGGGAGAAGAGAAAGAAAGAGACGGAGAGAGAGGCAGAAGGCGGAGGAGAGCTGAGAGAGGGGGAGGCAGTAAGAATTGGGGGGAGAGAGAGAGAGAGAGAGATAAGGCCACATTCTAGCTTCAAAGCCCCACACTCATCTCTAGTGGGAGGAGTCCCCTGAAACCATCACCAGGTAAGAGAGAAATGTGTTCTCAAGAAGTCTCCGACAGCTCCGGGCACATTATTCCTTGGCTGGTGTCATTTTGCTATTTGCCACTCTGCTTAAGGGTTATTCCAGAAGAGATGAATTTACTCCCCACCCCACTTTGCTTGTAAAAGCATCAATGCATGAGAAGGAACTGCAAGCAAAGTGGAGCACATCTCCTGTTGCAGATCCAGCTCTGCATAAGGCAACTGGGGAAATGGACTTATGGGAGTGGCATTGCGGCTGCTCCTGGAGCCCTTTTCAGCAGGCTTTCGGACCGCAACGCAGCCGTGATGCACTAGGTATAATGGTATTTTGTATCTCAATGGCGCCTTCCACTAGTGCACTTGGAGCATTCTTAGACTCTAAGTCAGCCTCTCAAGAGGGGGGCATGAGCATGTCCTAGGCCCTCCACAAGCCATCAGTACTGGGTGATAGATGTCAGTCATCTTTGCACACAGTGCTAGTGCCATCTGGTTGACATCATTTGGCTTTTCCTGGAAGGGTTAACAGTGCAGACTAACATCAGTCACATCCTGGCTTAGCCTGGTCAAGATCCAGTCTACAGCACCAACTGGGTCCAGACTTTTAACCAGTTGAGACAGCCCAGGCCTGGACAAGGCTACAGCTGTGCAGACATAGCCCGAAGAGCCCAACAGCCTCACAGCAGGAACAAAGCTGCTCAAGCCTCTTCCATTTTTCTGGCACCAGAGGGCTTACACAAACTGTCCCTACCATTTCCAGACTATCTGGAAGCCTTTATCTGGGACCTGCAGCTTCGTAAGAGGCTGCTTCGAACCCAGTTTCTCAACAGCTGAATGCCATTTCCAACACCACACAGCCTCCCAACCCTCCATCTCACCTTGGGACCAAGACCCCACTTGCGGGGGTAAGTGTCTCTTTCCATGATCACCCTCTTGATCTTTGCCACGATGCCATGGTCACAGGTGGAAATCACTGCGGTGGTCATCAAGGCAACGGCTGCAGCAATGGACAATGACGGGAGTGAGCATTCCGGGATAAAGAGCAAGTCTCCTCAGCTTAGTGTGACAGTGGCGCAGAGACGGGTACCAGAGGAGACTCCCAAGACGGACGTCCTAAAGGTTGCCCAACTCCAACTGGGAGCAGGTTTCCACTTGTAACCCACTGCCTGCCAGATTGTGAAAGTGCAATCCAGGGTCCTCTAGATCAGAAAGTGAGCATTTCCTGCCTCAGCTGAAAGCTCAGATCTCCTAGCCAAGATTGTAGCAGGCCCCTCAGCCCCTATGTAGCTCCGTCCCCATAAAAGCACCGGACTGTCCGCAGGTTCACAGACTAGCCAGAAGCGAACCGAGCACTACGCAGTGGTACCGGGACAGACACGCGAGGCAAACACACAGGTGTGCACCCAGTCTGGGTGGCACCTCTGGACTTCTAGCCACACAATGCTTTGCTGTATCTGTTATGAAAAGGCATCAGGACAGACCCATTCAGTCAGCATCCATGAGGCTTCGTTTCTTTATCTAGATTTGTTAGGAGAGTTCGCAGGCAACGGTATGTGATCAGAGAGCATCTCTCGTCTCGGTTGAGATGGAGCCCCCATGCAGAGGGTCTCCACCTCTGCTGGCTCTGTCCTGCTCCTGCAGACAGCCAGCCAGCCCCTCCAGCAGCCCCCAGTAGAACACTGAAAGACTGGAGGGTACTTGGAGGCTGCACAGCACCAAGACCCTAAAACAGGAATCTAGGCGCTGCAGGGAGGACAATGCAGCAGCACTCAGAGAATGGATAAACTTCTTCATCACTTCACATACCATGCGCCTGAGCACCCAGGGCATAGGAAAAGGGTGAATGGAAGTCAATTAAGAACCCCAATATGTTCACTAGGTTGTGCGTTTTCATGGCGGGATAGAGCTAGGCTTGGAAGGATGAGACTTTTACCGCTAAGTATTGATACATGTCAATTCCACTGTATACAAACGGATAAAAAACATTTCTGATCCCTTTCCTTGCCTAAGAACTCTGATCATGTTACAGAGCAATAAAGTCTGTTTCTGTAACAGCCTCCAGAGTTATAAATAGGCCATTGTTTCTCAGCCATGCTCTTCTCATGCTACAGGGAACAGGTCACTGTTCTATAGAGACCACCCGCCAGCTTTTCCTCCCACCGTAAACAGGCCACCCCCCATCCATGAAATGCTCAAGCCTACCCATATTTGTTATAAGCTTCTGAAGATGCTGTAGTGTGTGCTGGCTTTAGTGCAAGGAGGAAGAACATTGACCTCTTCTTACCCATGCAGATGGCCTCTCCTTTAGTGGTGATGACGACAATCTCCTGATTGATCTCAATGCCATCTTCATACCGCAGAACACCAGGGAGCATGATCTTGGCACCATAGCAGATGGCATTAACCTGGAACAGCGAAAGAGAAGGGCTGAAAAATCTGGTTGAGAATGTGAAGTTACTGGGCCTTAAGGAACACCCAACATTAACTCTGCACATTTATTCAGCCACTTCAAATGCCAATTGATCAACACATGATAAAATAATATTTTCCATGTCCCTTTCGTGCCAGGACTGGGCCACTGCTCCTCAGTGCTGGCTTGCAGCACCACCTATCATTCAGTCCTGTACACTGCCTCGAGAGAGATCCTCAAGGAGGATCCGGATCAGCACCACCATGTTGTTACTCGTTGGCCAAGCTAGCGGTGAAGTCAGAGCGAAATCCTTTAGTGCATGGATTCCCAAACTGGGGGGTGCAGAAATTCGGGGGGGGGGGGGGGGTTTCCAAAGCAACCCAGTCCCCCCTAAGTTTTGCTACTATTTTTGTTTTTTGGCTGGTTAGTTTGTTTGGTTTTTTTAGGCTCAACAAGTTGTTGTTGCTATTTTGGGGGGAGGGGGAGTCTGTGGTTTCTCAAAAATCAAAAAGGAGGCGTGATACCGAAAAGTTTGGGAACAACTGCTTTAGTGTCACCCCCTCTGCCACCTGCAGACATTTTCCAAAGCCATTTGAGAACTCACCGCACTGTCCTTCATAACCAGCCGTTTGTGTGAAGTCAGCAGCTTCTCCAGGGGGAAGATGACCCTCCTCAGGTAACTCTCATCCTTGTTGTTGTCATACTGCCACTGGGCATCCAGCACGTCGTGCATCGTCACCATGTGATCCTGTGGAGATGCATGCTCACTACCTTAACCTCTGGCCCAGCCACCCGCTAAAGTCACACTGAGAAAATATAGCTGGAACTGTGAAGGAAAAACTGAGGAATGTTTCCAAAAGGGGGCGAGGATAAAATTGGCAAGAACCGTGACGGCGGCAGGTAAACACAATGCAAACTCCCACGTCTCTCTGCCGCTGGCCATGCGACCCTCCTGATCACAAACTATCAACTGTGCCACGCCTGTGTGGAATGTTTCACACAAACTCACTCATGACCTGACCCATAAATGAGCTTAGCTTCCCACACATGACATCAGCATGTGAAAGAATGAGCTACCTAGAGCCCCGGATCACATGCACAAACAATGCACCCTGCCAGAAACCTCAGAACGCAGGATGCAGAAGGTGCTAAGATCGTGGCTTCTAGGAAAAGTGACTGCTCCAAGAGCCTCCCCGCCATTGAGAGGGCAGAGAGCTTGTTCCACTAATGAAGTCTTTCTCCACCCCCAGGTGTGTCCACACACATGCTGGAAAGTCCACTGAGGCTCCTCTCCCAGTCCCAGCACAGCGGCATCCCAGGAGGTTTCCTACATGAGATACCTTGAACTGCCCAAAGCCAGAGTGCACCAAGAAAACAGCTGAGCTCTCAACATGTGGTTGTTTTGTGGGCTGTGACGGAAGTGGCAGAAAGCAAAGCTTCCCATCATCTTGACATGACTCCAGCCACTCACTGTCCCAAAGTTTAATTACCAGAACAGGGGGGCAGCCCTGCACTGAACTCAACACTCTGGGTATAGATCACTAACAGCAAGGGCCTTCCAAAATAGCCTCCTACCTTCTCTCCCATGATCCCTGAGCGCACCCGCCGGAGCTCTTGCATCTGGCCTCCAACCCCCAGCAGCAGGCCCAGGTGGACACACAGCGTCCGGATGTAGGTGCCAGCTTCACAACTCACCCAGAAGATGCCTGAAATGCAATACAGGGAGGGGAGAGACGAGGTACCATAATTTAACACATTTTCCCGCAGGAATTCAAGCGAGCCCTGTGACTGACACCATGTTCAGTGCCTCCTGTGAGCCATCAGTTCTGGGTGATAGATGTAAGTCATCTTCGCACAGAGTGCTAATGCCATCTACTTCGCATCATACAACTCACCCAGAAGATGCCTGAAATGCAATACAGGGAGGGGAGAGACGAGGTACCATAATTTAACACATTTTCCCGCAGGAATTCAAGCGAGCCCTGTGACTGACACCATGTTCAGTGCCTCCTGTGAGCCATCAGTTCTGGGTGATAGATGTAAGTCATCTTCGCACAGAGTGCTAATGCCATCTACTTCGCATCATTTGGCTCTTCCTGGAACAGGCGCTTAGCAACTTTTAGCATGAGGGAA